TAGTGGTTTCAGTAGGTGGTGCTTTAGGCTTGGCAGCGGCAGATGGAGGGCGGCTCACTTTATCGTAACATGCATCACATACTCGAACCTGTGGAAATGCTTATTGAAAATAAAATATCCCTCATTTCCTTATAAAGAGTCATGTGTATACTTACAAAGATGTAGTGTTGAACCAGTTACTCAATTAGAATAAAATTGCTAATTTAGCTATTTGCTAAATTGGTTTTTGCGTTTTTATATGGTTTTTATAAAGTAACTTGTATATACATTATCAACCAACAATAGCTTACAAAGTAATTAATGAGACTCTAGATTTCTTCTATGCACTATCATTACATCTATATCATCATTTGACTATATGTTCCCCCTGAAGGGATCAGACTTCCCTTAGTTAGGGGTAACTAGGCCATAGTCAACCATGCTGGCCAAGTGTAGGTTGTTTACACAAGTAATACATCTATGTACAAGACCAAACTGTCCTTTTTTCTTCATAACAACTTCGTGATTCGTAAAAGATTTATCCAAAAAATTTAATACATAAAATATAAAAATGAATCACAAACTCAATTACCTCTTTTTCAATACCAAATTTAGGTAGAGTAGATGTCTTTGAGCTGCACTGTTGACAAAACACTTGTCCACAAGCACGGCAATGATGGCGTCGCACTATTAATGTGAAAGGCACACGGCACCTTGACAAAGTTACATATACATTTTAACTTTATTTTCTACTGCACATTTATTTTAACAAAATGACAAAGTAGTTTATTAAATTATAAATCATATTGCAGTTATTTTCTTTACCAAATTAATTTTCCCCTGAACAATAAAAAATCATATATTTATCGTGTAATACACTTATAGCTAAAACAACAAACTAACCTGTGACAGACTTCCCCATCAGCCCATTCCGGTGCAGTATCTGCAGAGAACATTGCATCAGATTCCTTTAGAGCTGGAAACTTGTATCCTTCTGCTTTGAGAATGTTCACTGTGTCCTGTTAATAAAATCACTAGCAATAAACACAAAGTTTCACATCAAATATTTTCACTGCACAACAATTTTCTACAATGTAACAAACTTCACTAAACGTTGTTTCATTCTCAATGTCTGAATCTATTGTTTGTAATGATGTGACTCATTCAATTGACTGATAAGGAAAAGGTGAAAAAAATTAAATAGGAAGCCATTTACCATTATGATCGTAAAATTTTAAATAAGAAGATTAAATAAAACCATCAATCACAAACATAATGTAATAACCTCCTTTTTGAAGCCTAACAAAGTAATATTTTTTTTTACTAAAATAACTTTTTTTTTCATTTATTCACATAATTTTTAAAAATATAGCAAAGATAGACGCAAATAATCGTTTATTAATTTGAATTATTGGCACAGTATGTAAAAATAACATATTCAGGAAGGTCAAGGTTACTTAATATAGACATTACTCAGCACAAATGAATTTCAAGTTATATAAGTCTATTACTATGAATCTATCACAAAAAGAATCGCGACAAATATCTGGCACAAAGTAAGAAGCAGTAGACGAAACATTCTAATTTAATTATAATAATTATAAAATCAATAGCTCTGTGAGTCAGCTGACACAAACATCAGGTGTTACTTTTATACTATTGGTATATTCAGTAAAATGTTTTTAATACACTTTTTTTTCTTTTTTATATAAATGGTGACTACCTGGGATTTCAACTTTAAGATTAACCTTCTAAACTCGTAAATATTCACTAAGAAACAATTTTATAAAGCAATCCGGACAATAGGTTTATTCAAGCAGAAATGAGTTAATCATTTACAGGTTGCCAGTAGTCTTGCAATACAACAATATTGTTACATAAGATAAGTGAAGTTAACTAGCTTGAAAATTTACTTAGATTTTATACAAGTGCATAACTACAGTTTTTTTTATTTTAAACAAAGATTTCAAATTTCTTATTTAAAGTGACTTAATAAAAATTGATAATAAACATTTAATATTGCTTACCTGCACAGCTCTGTATTTTGGTGAGTTCCGGAAGGCAAAGGCCCAAGCTTGTATCAGTTCCAAAATCTTGTTGCGGAGGTTTTCATGTTGAGTTGACTTCACTAAGTCTCGGAGCATTTCACAAAATGCCTTTGATGTCACTTCATCATGCACTCCAGATCCTATCATGATGTACAATTAATTATAAAAATAAGTATACAAAAAAAATACATCTATATGATTTATGCTTTTTTACTTAACATAATTCCTAAGCACTTGCCTACAATACAAAAGTGTAGAGAAAGATTATTGTTTTTACACTAACAAACATGTATGGATTTTAAACAAAGAAAATATACTAGAGGTATTTAAAATGGAATTCTTGTATTACATCTGAGACATAACATTCTGTATGAAAATTGAATATTTAAATTCAATTTAATTTGTACTGTATCTGATGATGGGCTACAATATCATGTAAAAAATAAATTATAGTAGCAATATATACTAATTATAAACATTCCAGCCTATAAGCTGCTTATTTCTTAAATGTGTAAGCACTGTCAGTGCTCTTGTTCTAACATTAGCTAAAATCTTATTAATATTATAATTCTTTAAGAAACATAATAAAAAATTATATAATTAACATTTAGTAGATTGTGTATAGATGTATGTTATCTGCCAACCCTGTAAGTTTTGAAGATATTTCTTGTATTCCGATATAATTTTTTTTGGACCTACTATGTTTTTGAATGTTGCAAATTCTATGCATAGCAGTTCTATTAATATATTTCTTATATTAGACTATTTGTATATTTATGTTACTTAGATATAAATGCTTAAATCAGCCACATAATGAAACTTTGATTGTAATAGTTTACTATTATTTGAGGACAGAGTGCAGCGTTAAAGATAACATGAGTGAAGTCAAGAAACTATGTTTTATAAATATTTCATTTAAGTCTCTTATCTCCTTTACTTGTAAACAACAAATAAAACTGTCGATAATTTATAGTTATTGTTATAAATATAACATATAATTGAATGATGTGATCTGTTTTGTGTTGGCATCCTTGCTTCACTAACACAAGCATTAATTTTTCAGTAGGCATAATAATGAAAAGTTTTAAAATTGCAACATTTTTATAAATGACAATACTATAAAACTACAATGGTAACAAATATGGCCTTTGTGTACTGTCTCAGTCAATGCAGTAGAAATTTAACAAAATACAGAATGTTGATTTATTACTTTATACAAAATGTGAGATCATAAAATTATTAAGATTTTTTCAAATAATTTGATCATATTTGTCCAAACAATTCTACATATTAAACTGAAACAATCGGAATGACTTTAGTAACAATAATTCTGAATTCAAAGTCCATGTTTCTAATTATATCAGATGAAGAAGCATTTATAAAAATGTAAATTAAGGATTATTTCCAAAATATTAATTACTTGATAATACTATACCATTACATAATATTATTCATATTATATTAGAAATATGTTACTTACCACAATTTTTTACAATGCTCTCCAATGTAAGGAGAGCAAACATAGCTTGATGAGGATTCTGGGAGTATAGTTTCTTTTTGACAGCAGCAACTGCATATTTAGGGCTGCAAATTTTAATTAATTTAGTAAGTCCACAAATATATCATTTGTTTTCAATTCAATGTACATTATTTCACATATAATCCTTAGAGATTGATAACACTGTACTCACGAACAATCATTTTGTCTAATTAAGTCGCAAATTTGCAATATTGTTGGCCAATCGGGCTCCAGGCGTAGATTACTAGTTGCTTTATCTAGAACAACATAATGAAAGCTATAAAATGACGTAAGCGTAAAAAAGCTAAGGTTTTAAGCTAGCTAGCTTAAGAAAAATTCGGGAATAAACCAATTATAATTATAGTAGGTCAAGAAAGATTCAGAGAAAAGAAAGTATAGTATAAGTGGAAAATATATAAAATAAGGCGATTGCTAATGATGGTATTTGTTGCGTATATATTTTGGATATTTGTAAATTAACTTACCGAGTAATTTATCAAAATTATTCACCCGAAACATCTTTTTGTTGTGTATTTACCAATTACACTATTGTTTTAGAAAATCAACTGTGATGAATCGTTCGATAGACAGAAAATGACAGCTCACTATGTCAATTTTGTTATTCCTATTTTAACATTGGCAATTGTGAACGTCATTTAAATGGAAAAATAAAGATGCAACAAAATTAACAATTTTCTTAAGTGGAAAAATAATTTGCATTGTAGGCACCAATTGCTTTAGATAATAAATTGTGCTCAATGGCAGAATAAAGATAAACTGCTTATTAAAAAGTCAAAAAATCAATTTACTGGCAACACAAGTACTACAAAGATTAAATAAAAGAAATTTTATTATCATCAATGGTTTTCAGTTAAGTTTTCAGCTGGAATTCAGTGGTTTTCTGGAATGGTTTAAATATATAAATAAAAATGGCTTTTATTAAAAATGCAGTGGATAAGACATAGTCGGAGGTGTTATTGGTGACAATTAAAAGTTAAAATTAAGTTCTACTTAATACTAATCAAGTTTTACTTAATTCTAGGTAGTTCTACCTTATATTAACTTTCAATATTCCTATTTATATTTCATTTATACTAATAAATCACCATCATGGACGTTGATTAGTTGGGGATGATGGAGTAAAATATTGTAAACTATACACTAATCACAAAGTACATGGTCAGGGGCAGAACTCCATAATCGTATTTTTATTTTTAACTATATAGTTTTAAAAAATGGTGTAGATAACATAATATTAGGAAAGTTTAGTTTGGCAATATAAATTTAAATCATAAATAAAATGTTTCTTTTTAACGAAGGTAGTGGAGGATTTCAGTGTGATTTTGATCTTAGCATTGCAGCTTAGTCTTTGTATATGTTTTTTTCATATATTACGTTAATACATGCCTCATATTTCACCGATAGTTATATGTACCCACCTTATCACAGATGTTTGTACGAAGATATCACTAAACTTATCATATTAATATATGACACATTTGTTCCAAATTTTTATTAAGTTTATGCAAGGATTTTAGTTTTAATTGAGTCATTCGAGAAATTACAAGAGTCTTTACTATGTGTTTCGTAAAGATATAAATTTACTAAATACGAAGATAAAATGTGTGATACTAATCTCCTCAAAAAGTGTCTAGAAATAAACAGGAGAAAACTTTTACAGTTAAATCATGGTTTACAAGTTTGTAACCAACTATTAAATGCAATTAAATTCAAAGTAGGGGCACTGCAAATACAAATATTGGCGACGAGGATAATGTACCAGGACATCATGGAGTTGCGGAAACTGATTTTAATTGTACATCCACATCTAAAGCAGATATCGGTCAAGGAATAATCAGGTAATAACAAAACATTATATATCATTGAATTTACTACAAAAAACAAGTTGGTCTAAGTTGCTTGTCAAAGAAACAATTATAATTATTTATAGTACAAGAAACGGAGTGTGTGAGAATTAGCAATGACTAAAATGTGGCGTCCATAGTTGTGATTACATGGACGTGGGGTTTAACTTTTACCTGCTACTCCTTGGTTCATCTAAAACAGGAAGTTTCTTTAAGTTAGCCGTGCTTAAAGTTAGAAATCGCTTGCGGTCGTACCCTAACCAAAGCATGTAGCAATAATAACATACTATTATAATATTAAGTAGTATGTTTTATTATTACCCTGTTAAACTTATATTGCAAATTGCTAATAGCTTTCGTTTGTTATTTCCAGCAGTTTCCCGCCATTACCGCTGCCACTATTCCACAAATCATCGCGGGATGCACATGAGGTCGTTCGACGGATAGAGCAGCGGCCATGACAGTCGAAAGAGCAACATTACGAACGGGGAGCGTAATTTGATAATCGTCGTGCACTTGACTGCGACACATCGTCTGACAGTCCATCTGTCATGTTGATTGACCCGGCTTGCGAAGGACAACGGCCGCAGCCGCTGATGTCAAATCAACCACTCACTTCCTCCTTCATACTTTAAACTCAATAAATGTGTGAGGATACATGATTGAGATGGGGTGAGCTAATTTCATACAGAAATGTCTACATATCAAATTTTACCGCTCCCAGTCCAAGTTGACGTTTTTTTCTTGCAATTTTTGCCCCCATTTTCTTATATAGTGTGTAAATTGTGAGATAATCGGACTGTAGAGTTATCTGCGAGTAATTAACTCATCTTGTCTCAAACTAACGCGCTAAAGCATTTTTGACAATAGATTTTTTTACTTATTATGCTAATCGCCTTCCCTAGATTGTGGCCCTATATGGAGAGTTCTATGTCTGATGGGTGCAAAGTTCCTCTTTTATGTTTATCTGCCATGCTAGAGTAAATCCTTAAATCCCCTTTTCACTTCCTCTACTATAGAATATAGATAATTAAACATTTTAAAATTGAGATCTGTGAATGCTAGTTTTGGTGATTCATTGGTGTGAAACAAGGCAAATTAAAGAAGGTTGTACGCCGAAAAGGTTCCACCTTCGCCATGACCTTTCACTTACCAATTTACCACATTTTCCTTAAGTTTAAAATTATTCATAGTAAGTTTATCTCCTTTGGTAACGCGGTATGTCACGAGTGTGTTGCCTTGATTGCCAAACAATGGCCGGAGTAAAGAAGCCTTGGTAAGCAATTGTCTTCTCTTATTGTTAGCCGATTTCGGACCCTTCCTATGCTGAAAATAGACTAACAAGAGGCCTCTAGCAAACAAGCGAAATATGGTAGCAGAAGCATATAATATTTCGTACACAAAACTTTTAGAAACAAAGAGTTTCATTTACATACAAAATTCCAACTTAAGTTATACCAACTATATGAAATTCTATTAACAATTAGTTCATTTAAATTTGGCCTACTTTTATACATTGGTTCTTGGTTATAAATGGCAGCAGATAGATCATGTTAATTTAGTCCAGTAATGAATAACTTTAACGGACGTAACAAATATCGGCAATGAATTACGGTTAAGAGAGGCAATTAGAGAGTTAAACTATTTTGTAAGAACTATGTCATGTTCTTTAGAAGGATTTGACGGGCTAGGGGATGAATAAGAAGTCTTTGTTTTAGTTAATAATAATAAAAATAGTAGTCACAGATGACTAAGATCTAGGACATAATAAACAGATATTATATTGAATTGTAATGAACCAATCTAGAGTTCTTTGATTATGTTGGCAACTTATTAGATGCATAAGGAAGGAAAGAGTGATCGGCCTTTCAATCGAAATTTTTGAATGCTAATATATGACATTGCTCTTGAGAATTGATCGTACTGACCGAGAAGTTTGTAGAAAATATATCGTTGTCTTTAGAATTTGAACAAATACCCTTCGAGCTTCATCAATGCATGCAAATAAGCATTCACGCCTTGGAGGCGCATATGCCAAAGCGGACATTTAAATCTTATCTGCAGGCCAGCAGCAAATACAGTCAATTGTTTCCGAACGCGTGGCTAGTTAACAAATAAACGCGGTTTACAATTGGAGTAGGTATAGAATGCGCAAGAGTTGCTTCGCATATATTGCCAGTCCACGCTATCCTAGCGGTCAGGTCACACACGCTTAGGGCTCTCATCTTCCCTTATGTGATAAAAAAACGCGCGGGAATACGAATAAGTGTTGTCTTTGAATATAGATATATCAGTCGAGACTATCGAATAGAAGTTACGATGTTCAATAACAATGTTATTCGGTTTAGATCTTTATGTGACAAGTAAATAAAGTTCATTTAAAATGCAGTTCTAAACGGTCATGGTAAGTAATTCCTGTTGTGTATAATGATTTAATGCGGCTCATCATTTTCAATAACATTATTTATTTGATCTGATTATTTAGATCCTTAAATTTATATTTATGATTGAATCGTATAAGCATGTTTTTAAAGTGAAGTCTTCCAAGAGTTTATCTTGTCACTGTTATGTTTAAAAATAAAGTGTTTACAAACTTATGCCATTATTATAAATGATATATGTATCATTGATGTATCGTATTTCATAAAATATTCCACGTTTTTTCACGGAATTTGTAATACAAATAAATAGCCATTCGGAATGTGAACTGTTTTTAAGATTAAGTAACTTTAAACTTGGTCTGTTTCTATGGGATAAGATTATAGATACTTTCTCATACATATTTGGATTTAACTCGTAAAGGGACAAATATTACTAACGTATATTCTATTCTGACATTTTGGACGGTTAAATTTAAGGTTAGCTCATGCGAGCGCTCAGGTCAACAATTCTTTTACATTTAAGTGTCTCACCAGCTTTCAATATTTATCGTGGTTTAAAATAATTACTTAAATTTGTTATCATATAAAGTATGAACTTAGTATAAAAGTAAATCACAATATAATGAAAAGTTAGCATTATCCTTGCACTTGTTGACTCATGACGTTAATAGGTCGTGGGTTGTTTGCGTCAAGTGAACACTTTTGAAACATCTCATAATGTCGGCTTTATTAAGACATTGATACAGGTATACTTTCATTTAAATAATTAATATACTTAAAACAAGAAATACCAAAGAAGTCAGCGATTTATTGACACTCTTGGGGTCATTAAATGGTTAACATAAACAGTCGCTTTGTGTAGACTTCCCATACAAAATCTAGACTAAAAGGCTATAAGTGTCCATTACTAATAGTTGCTTAAGTTGTGTAAATTAAAAAGTCGATAGTTTTGTAACTTCGAACGATTTAAAAAAATACAATAGTTATTGGTAGTTCCACATTTAAAGAGGAAATCCCATACTTAAAAGGTCAGCTTAGCTCCTTACTTTTAGCACTATAAACACGTGTATAAACGTCGCCGCAATCTGCGTATCCATTCATACCCGCCAGTGAGTGGGCCCACGGACTCCCAAAATAGTCGCTTCCTGCTGATGCTCGCAATTGGTTCTGGCAATAAATTTGGTTCCTAGGACAAGTTACTCATGTCTGCTGGGGTGCTTCAATACTTACGCTGGTTATAAAATACGAAGCATTTGAGAGACTGATTTAAATTACCCGATCGGTAAACGACTTTTTTTTTAATTTGTTTGATCAAGATATTTCAAATACTGATAGGCGTTGAACAAAAAATTATATTATTATAATTAAAAAAAAACACGTAAAATAAAAAAAATCGGTTAGCAAATAGTATCATTAACCAAAGACCATTTGTGTTTTTTTTATAAAAACATCTGTGATTTATTGGTGCAAGGAAGTATTTGATGACACAACCTTTTAATAAAAAGTCCCACGCTTAACCAACAGACCATTACGTCCTATTTAAAGGGCGAATAAATAGAACATTTTTTGTTATTACTTTGTGAATATACCATTTCTCTATGACATGTTCAGTCATAATGTCACAACTTCCTGTGTTATGATTTTATATCAAAAAGATTTATGTATCACACGGTTTCGCAATCAGATTTCAAATGATTTTGTATACAGATTTACTAAAAAGATATTCAACTTAAGTTTTCGGTCGATCATATAATACAATAATATAATATGTTGTAACCATTTACGTAAATTAATTGTATTAATATAACCTAATTTAATAATTATAAACTATGTTTATATAACACGAGTTACCTGCATTCAAACTGCGTAAGCAATTTTGCGGGCCATGGTTTAAATGAAAGTCTAACTTTTTATGAATAAATGTATTAAATAAAAAAATATACATGTTGTCATCTCGTCATGTAAATATCGTTTGTAAGTATTGCCGCTGTAAGATAAATAACATCGATATTATGTAATAGGACAATAAATAACTATTTAGTGTAATTCTTTGTATAATTCATGCAAAACTTTATGTATTTTGGAGCACGTGGACATAAAGTCATTAGTAATTGCTGGAGAGACACGGTAATTGAGATTGGCCTTCGCTATTAGCTCTAGACGGCAGCGCTATGACAGACGTGCGTATGCGTGCTCTCTCGTGACTGAGTACGTCATCGCGCCACTTAATTACTGATTACTTAAACCTGCCATACACTGACTGCTTCAGGTAATCGGTATAGTACCATTCAAAGTTCATGACAGCTCTCCATCTTAGATAAGACGTTGTGTAGAGTACACTTTCAGGTTTTAGCAGAACGTAAAAATATACTTAAGTGGGGTACTATACTACACTTGTTTTTGTTTGTTTGCAACAGTAAGCCCAATGTACTCGCGCCGCCATAACATTTGAATCTTGTAATACCGTCAGCTTCAAGCAGCAATTGACGTTTGCCATACACGCGCCGTAGCTTGCAGTCGTCGCATTAAAAGGTTTGATTTGGTATTGATGCTTATCTGTACGTGCTAAACTTTTAAGGAAATGAAGTAATGATAATAGTAATTCTGGTTATAAGCGGTTCACCTGAAGTTAATGATCATGGGTATAAAAGGTTATAGCTATGTTGTCGATTATTGTTTAACGTTTATGTTCGTAAGTGATAAAATTTATTTCTAGGAAACTAGAAATAATAATTTACTCACGAAAATGGACCTACTTTATTAAAAACATTGACATTGGGAGTTCAATAAGAAACTCGCAACATCGTAAAACGTAGGCTTATAAATATATACTTGGGTTATATTATGCCAGTACATTAGTTGAAAATCAGCTCTGGCAAACAACTAGCATAGTGTAAACACTAACTGGTGCCAGTGAGCCTGTACAGTCCATGTCAGGCCAGTGCTACTGACTTGCTGTACAGGCATAATGTACACCAGACAATGAAGTAATTTATTGCTGACTATGATGAATTCAGTGCCAATGTGACGATTAGTGACGTTTACCGGCATCCTTTACACTAATGTGTATGAGTTTAGAGCTTCCATGTTTCCGCAATATGTCAGAATAATCCCAGTGAGAGGAAATAAAGACATCCGCTGTTAACCTGCGTATGGAGATGGAGCACATCCTAATGAGTGCAAGGACGTTGCGTGTCAGAACCGGAACGACGCTCGATGATCATCATTTACAAGAAAAATCGTTTCTTAACCGTTGTTGACGGTAGCGCGCTACGAGTATCAAACCTAGTTGAGATATATTGCATTTACTTCCGGTAGATGGAGTTACATGTCGTGAATCGTACAATTATTTAAAATTATAAAATGTTTTCTACGATATTATAAGAGAATATTTAGGTTTTATTTATGATTTATAGACAGCTATTAAAAGTGTGAGACAATTCATGAATTGTAGAATTTATCAAAAGAATTAATTAAAAATCTATTCGACGATAGATGGCAGTGTACCTTCATACTATTTTATTCTTTAGTAAACGATGCTCTTTTTTGTATGTGTCTCATGTAGGTATACAGTTAATTATGAATCTAACTCCTTCTTTCTCTTTCTATTTCCAGGTATTATTTTAAACGAAGTGAAGAAAAACTGTTCCAGTACACACAATGATACAAATTACTATAATAACTGTATATGTAACAGAGATGAAATCGCTCCTATCAAAAGCAAGTGCGATATCGTGACAAGAGAAAGAGTCAAAAAATGACAACAGAACTCTCTTACGAAATGCAAGAGCGAGATGGAGAAAAGGAGGTTAAAGGGAAATTAGCTACTGGGAAAATATTTTACAAACCTGGAGTTATAGAAGAGGAAACTGACGAAACCAGTGCCTTCGAGAGTTCGATGGTGGAATCACCAATGCTAGCACCATGCGGAAGCAGTTTCCTAAGACCACCTCAGATCCATCCATCGAGCAGTCTTCACCGCATACCTACGTACAGCAGTTCCATAGGACAGAGTACAATATATCGTCAAGATACTTGCAGGTATTATACATTTTTTTAAATAATTCAAGACTTAACTCTTATAACATTCAGATCGTACAAATTAAAGAATGTAAATGGCTAAAATTAAAATTATGATATAGGTTCTACTCTTAAATTAAAATAACATATCATTATTCACATTTAAACTAAGACGTAAGCTAATAATTTATACTATATCAAATAAACTATATACTAAAACTTAAAAAAAACTAATCGACCCCAAATCCCAGCGCTCGCAGGGTAGGGTACCCTAGAGGCTAGCGGCATTCCAGGCTTTATCTATGCCCGAAATGCGCGCCATCCCTTGGATCCCCTGATTCGTCGACGCCACGGTAACAACCTCGTTCTACTTTTTATTATAACTATCAACCATTATATTTAATTTCACTCCCTTCTTACTAATATTCTATAACATAACATAATATACAACATAACTAATATTCAATTAAATTAACATAATCCAAATAAATTTTCTTTTATTTTTAGGTTGGTATTAAATAAACTTACTTCGTTAATTTGTATGATAAATTATTTATGTTAAGATTTTTTACAAAGATACTTATATTTTAACGAAATCCAATTAGTTGATGGAATCGATGATTTTATTGATGTTTGAAAATTAATTTTCAAATACTGCTTGTGATTCACAATCCTTGAGTTAGTCGATATCTAATCAGCGATGAAGAAATGTTGATAGTGAATTATCGAAATAGTTTACTTAAATTATTCGCAATAGTGGTTTCATGCAAGTAATAAATACACTCGTGTTTTCTGTTGTCTTAACAATTGAGGTTAACTCTGTCATATATTTTGTCGGCATTGAAAACGTTTTGGTCTGAGGATACGTGTGTGAAAAGTGTCTAAAAATGCGACGCAGGCGCAAATAGTGATGATAAGACAGACATTATCTTATTTACCGAGTTTGTTCTAGTTTTGTTTGAAATAGTCATCAGTGTGACAAGGTATTTGACTACAAAGGATTCTTTATCTAAGATACGCATGGTCCTAGGAAAAATATTTACTATATCACGTTTTCCTACAATGGAAATTGACGTAAAATATTTATTTTCGATTTAACAATTTCATGACTAAATAATTCGATAGAACATGACGTGATTAAATCGGAGTGCAAAATATGTGAAGTTAAAAGGGTAGATATTCTTTTATTACGAATTATATATTGGAGATTTAGTCTCTTGTTTCATAAGAGCCAAGTCTACTGAAGGCATATGTTGCATTTTAAATTTTAAATAATCTTAAGCATATTCTAGCACTTTCCATTGTATCAGTTTTAAATCTTGAATTGTCTTTTTCTACATACCTGATAGCAAATCTAAGCAAAGGATTAACTTTATCTTTGAAACTTAATGCTTTCGCATTAATCATAACTGATCGACAGGCTACTGATCTGTGAATTCAAATTGAAATGGGTCTATTGATGTCATAAGTACTTGGTTCAAACTTGATTTAAAATATGCTGCCGACGTCTCCATTTTCGTCTAATTTTGAATTCAAGAGAGGTGCATAGGCAGTAACGAAACTACAGCGTATCATCTTCCGAACACATGACCACTTGACAGCCAGGTCGTAGGCAAGTGCTAGTTTATTTATAATAATACAAAAAGAAACTTAGTAATATAATAAAAGCAAAAGGTATCTCCAGAACGGCTATAGATATCTCACTGAAATTTGTCATAGATGTAGAAGCAGTCTGGAGGGACACATAGGCAATTAAGTTTTTTAATTCCGCGCAGAGGGAGTTGCGGTCGACAGCTAGTAATTAATATTTTCTGTTTTTCACTCACGTGAAGAACTGTCTGCATCAAGCATAAAGAAGGTATTAGTTATCTTACAGCTATAAATCTGTAAACTGTCACCTAATTAGTTTACGCACACGATTTGCATGACTTTAAATTGTAAAAGAAAATATTGATAAAGATTTCATTTTAATATTTAACATACTAAGCTAAATAGTAAATTAACATTAACTAAAATTGGTGAAAAGGCCGTTGTTTTTGTATATTTGATTTGAATATGCGGAAAAATACACTTCCTAAAACATAACCTAAAATCTTAATAAAAACACAAATTAATACAGTTATTTTTAGTTATAACGAAACTGAAATATCAGTATTGATATTGTTTACATTAATATAATCTTGTCTACCGTATTTTATTTTCACTAACGTCACAACTCAAGGTTCACAAATATGTTTGTTCTCGATGCTCTTAAGCTGTGTATAGGATAATGCTTTAATCTACTAAAATCCATGAAAATCTCTAAACAAGTGATACGCGTCTAGATAATGATGATTAATCACGTATTAACTCCTTTTCTTTCCACTCTACGGTTGAACGTATCTCCTTAGATAAAATATAATTCAACCGCAATTAAACACAAATTAAACATTATAATTTATGTTACGACAGATGTGTAAAGAAAAGTAATCTTAAGAATTAAACAATTAAAATAATTATGTTATTATTCTGTTATAACGATTTAATTAAATGATACTTTATTCGTTTGTAAAAATATATTTGCAATACTCTATTTTTGGATGGCGCTACGGCCGCTCTATATTCCTTATGACCAGACTTCATGTAGCCTAAAAAGTTTGACCGATTTTAAAGAGTGAAATTTCATTAGATTTATAATCTTTTACAGACTAAGTTTATTAGGTTTTAAAATTAATTAGGTTGTTCATGTTCATCTTACTATGTGTAATATGATAATAATATTATATGTAATATAAATGCGAATGTTTAGATGGATGGATGTTTGTGGAAGATATCTCCAGAACGGGTGAACGGATCTCGATGAAATTTGGCATATATATAGCACATAGTCTGGAAGAACACATAGGCTACTAATCATGTTTTTTTCAATTCTGCGCGGACGAAGTCGCGGGCGACAGCTAGTTATGCAATAAATATCAGGTTCGTGGAATAAACTAAACATTATATTATTTTTTTATTTTTATCTGTAGTCAAGTATTACAGGCACGTGGTATGATGCTATTCAGTGTCGCGGCTGCGGCACAATAAACAATTGACGTCTATAACTGAACTCATTTACGGTCTTTGTCTCGTCTGCAGTTAGTCTGCTTTCACACGAGGGCAGAACTGTGATGCAGAGCAATAAGATTAGTACCGTACTGCTATTAGTTGAACGAAACTTACATTGAAAAGAGTTCTGTCGGCGCAGCCTGTGCCGATAAATTAATAGCAGTAGTATACTGCCCTCGTGTGAATCTTGCATTACGTCCTCTGCTAGCTCCGGCGCGTGTTCCCTGTCGATCTTCATTTTAGTCTTAAGATTACATTTTTCAATTGGAAATCTGGGATAAAGCTGGATAGCATTCAATTATTCTTTTTAAAATTAAAATTATTCTAAATTTCTAACTTCTCGATTATAATAATTAATTACTTTCTCCGAGATTTAGGAGGGCTCGCTATACATATCTAATAGTTATAATTTTTTAACACACATCGTTAGAAATAAATGCAATATCCCGTATTTTTAATTAATAAAAAATTTATAATTTAGTATAAAACAGAATTTTACGATAGACAACACTTCTATAAATAAATTGACATTACTGTGTACCACAAAACTGTAAACGTGGGATGCTAGAGGGATCGGTTCGCTCTACCAACATAGATCCATTGTACGATACCTACGGAAAAATATAGTCGATTGCCGTCAATTAGGTGTTTATTTCAGTTTCACGAAATCAAACTTGGGAGTACATACCGGTTAACAAATAATAAATAACAAATCGTGATCGAGGCGGAGGCGGGGCAATGATTTAATGAATTATGGAAATCTTTTATGTACTCGCATTTTGTAAAAATGTTATTTAAGACTTGCGAATCGTGATCGTTATATTTTAAGGTTATTTAGAGGGGAGGCGTGTTTCTAACAGAAGTATAGACTAAATACGAAGTTACATTTAAGCTAATTTTATTCACTGATTAATTGTAAACTGAATCATAATTTAAAGGTAGGCAACGCATTTGCAATTGCGTATGTCTATGGACAACGGTTACTTCGCTATTTCAGCGATTTCAGGTGGCCGCTCGCTCGTTTGCCACCTTATGATATACCTTAATATAACTTATTTCAAAGGAGCTTAGAAGTTTTAAATTACTTACGACATTTGCAATGTATATTTAAAAATAAAAATAGGATTAACTTGACAAGTTATTGTCCATGATCGTATTACAA